TGGGAATTTCAAGCTGAAACAGAGCTTAAGAGTTCTTGTTTTTGTCATAAACTGGTTTGTTATATATAAATTTGAAAAGAGCCAGATTTCTCTTGAAGCAGCTTACCATCCGTGTGTGTGTGTGGGGGGGGGAATATGTATACATTTTTATTTCTTTATTTTAAGAAAGCAACCTTATCTTAAGTAACTAGAAATGTTTCTCCTCACTCAAGTCTCCATTTCATCTGGACTTAATTTCTGTTTCCTTTCCTTTCTTATGCTCATCTGCAGATACTACTAAAGGGATATAAGGGGAGGCTACTGTGGGTTGTCTTGTTTACTTGCTTGCTAGGTCATCTCTTTCAGCCCAGACCAGGAAATACTTGGACAAAGCAGTGGCAAGATCCTGTTTTCCTTGTATCAAAAGCTCCCCTTGACTCTGCCACACCTGTGGGGTGAATATCCTATGGTTGCCCCACAGATATATTTCCCCATCAGCTTTTCCTCTAAGAATTGCCAGTCCAGTCAAGATTATGATGATGATAATTGCAAAAAGAATTTCCTAGTTTTGCTTGTTTAACAAAGTTGACTAATTATTTGGCCTCTGACTTTGATCTAATTGTTTTTAGCATTTTAAAACTGGCAGAAATCTAAAACACTGGAAGCTTTTATTATGCACTTATTTGTATTTTTATGAGGGAGGTATGTGTATTTTAGGTAGGTAGTACAAGTGGCATGCTCTGATTGCAGATGTGGCTTATTTCTAATAGCATCTAGGTACATGTATGATAAAGGATGAGGATACTTACTCTTGTGGGACCAAGTTTCCAAGAGTGTAGGGCCAGATGTTGAAACAAGTTAGCATTCATATATGGAATAAATAATGTACTTGAACCTATTCTGTTTGCTTTGTTTTCTCTTAGTGCTCCTGGCAGGTTGAGGGCTTTTGGAGACCTCTGTTTTTCCATAGACCACACAGCACGAGGGTGGCAACGCTTCTGCAAACAGCTCTGCTCCTGAGCACTCCCTCCTGCAGGTAAGACTATAAATGGCCCATCTACAGAAGTCCACTGTGGCTCTCTGTAAATCAGTACATGGCTAGATCCATTGTGCATGACTGACTTCCAGGTTTTGACAGTCATCCTACCAAATGGATTGAGGTCCAGCATACAGTGGGCACATGCATACAGTTTCTGAGTGACTTGCATCTGGTAGAATCAAACAGTAATCCTTCTGCTGACTTGAGTGGGCATTGAGCAGACACTCTTTCCCTATTCTTGGGTTCCAATCTTCCTCTGATTCATAGTGTTAGCCTGAAGTTGGGCAGAAGACGGGGCAGGGTGACACCTTTAGAGCTGAGTAGTAGTTTGTAAGGTGCCACCCTGCCCTGCCTTCCTTCTGTTTGATTTATAGCTCATAGTAAACTTCTTTTGAAGTCAGTGGTTCAGGTTCACTTATGACAGCTAGTAGAAATTTCAGCACCACCCACAGGTACTAGGTGTCCAGTTTCCTTTAGTACTCAAGTCCAATTGCTTTTCAAAGTCTATTAGGTGCTACTGAAAGCCCTACAAAAAGTGTTGGTTGATGCATGACTTGTGTGAGCACCTGGTGCCTGCTAAAAGTAAAGATGCGTTCTGTTATTTAGTAGAAAAATGTGTAAATTGTAGCTAATATTCATGTAAGCTAGAACAAACAAACAATTTATTAGCCTTAAAACAAGGACAGTTGAGTTCATCATGCATCTCTCATCCACCTGTTAGCAAGTAGATAAAGTCATGGATCCCTGCTTACTTTGTAATCAGTTTTTTGGGGTTTTTTAATCAACTCTGACTTCCCTTTAACTGAGATAAAAGGAGTGTGATTGTGTATGTGACAGTTTCTGAAACAAATGTTAGTGGTTATACTTGCTCACCACTAGCTAACAGCAGGTATCGGAAGAAGCAGACTGTATGGTTGGAAACATGGCTTTGAAAGGTCTGTGTATAGTGAGAACAGGAGGGTGGAACTCCATTTCGTAACAGTCCTTGTGCGTACTGGATTTCCAGGTCATACTTTGGCATATGCCCTCATGGTTTAAAGTGCAAATGAAATAATGAATAAGAGTACTCTATTACAATGCAAATGCATCTCTGGATCAAAGGGTTTCACACTTCTTTGTTTTAAAAAAAAAAAAAAAAATAATCTTCACTCATTCAGTGGTGCTGTTGAGTTGCAGTCTGCTTTCATATCTGTTTCTCCTGCAAAAAGAGCTGTTGCATCTGTAAGGACCATAAATGCCCATCACGTTGATTTTGATTTATTTTTTACTTATGTGCAAGCCTGCACCTCAAATTAGATGGCCTTAAAAACCATGTTGCTCTACTGGCTTGCTGCTGATTCACACAAGTGTTGCCTGTTAGCTCATCAGCCCTACTTGTACAACACCTTTAGGATTTTCTTGTAAGTCTACAGTTTTGTTGGGACTGAACCCTCGTTATGGTAGCTAATAAAGCCATAGGTCAGG